AGATATTAGCAGTGGTTAACAAGAAGTGTTGTTAAAAATCCTTGCACACATTTCAGGTGCGGTTCAGTTATTTGGGTTTACAGATTTTAGCTTCTCGGGCAAACAAAATGATTTTAATTTGTAAAAAAGATTTTTTTTTTAATGCAAAGTTACAATTACTTTTTGAATAGCAAGAAATTATTATTATAAACTAACAAATTCTGTCAGGACCTTGAAATTTTAAGTAAGCGCTGAACTGTATTGCTCAGTTTAATCTCCAGTGTCTTTTGACTTCACTAAGTAGGTCAGACCAGCAGCGAGTACAGATATACAGAGAAAGTGCGATCCCCAAACTCTGCAACTCAATGAATACTTAAAAACCCTCAAAATCATTCTCGGGTAAGAAGCGATATCTGCAGATCTACCTACAATTTTCTTCTAAAGAAACAATTCAGAGACAGCTGCCGGCAGCAGAGACCATCTAAGGAGAAATGAGATTATATATGGGTTCCTTAGGACTCTGTCCTTATTTTGCTCAGGGAGTTGTCTGCAGTGGGATGGGTCAGGCAGGACAGACACATGTTCTTCCAAGTCCCTGTCCTGAACCACAGAACTATGTTTGAACAGCAGGAGCCATCTCAGCCATCCCCGGGAAACGGCACGTGGAGCTCGTTTCTGATTTGGGCTACCAAATGCTATGGGGAGCTCCACTGAGAATTAGTTATTGTATTGGTGCTGCACAAAAATATCCCAAAGATATTCTGTGCCCACTCTCAGGGGTCTGGGATTGCGGTAGCTGCAAGGGGGTCTGGGGTGAAGGGGATGTGCCCAGCCTGGGAGGGCGCAGGGTTTGCCCCCCAGCCTCATGGCACTGCCCACTGTGGGGACCAGGAGTGACCGGGGTGGATGTGTCACGAGATGTGGCCAGGGATGGCTTGTGCTGTGATGTGACCCAGGCTGGCATGTGGCTGAGAGCAGCCACTGCCCAGGGGCAAGGCTGGGGCCAGGAGGGGGCAAGGGCGATACCTGAGTCAGAGGTGTCACCAGTTCACCTCGGTCTGCCAGCCCCAGCGGGCACGGGGGTGCAGCCTGGGCACTGCAGGGCACTGCTGGAAGGCAGCATCAGGGCAGGTGGCACCAGCCCCGGCTGCCAGGAGATGTCCCCAGCTGGGGGACAAGTGCGTAGCACCAGGAATTAATATGTACTAATAATTTTTAAGGAGAGTTATACCATGAGGGTGCTGATTCAAACCCACAGAGGGTCTGGGCAGGATAAAACATGCCCAGGTGAGCACTGGCCTGTGGGCACAATGCTGTCTGGACCGGCTGTGCCAGGTGCTGGCCCTGCTGTCCCATCTTGGCTTTAGAAATGGTTTGTCAATGCCCTTTCTTAAAATCGTGGAAAGACTATAAATATAGCACATTTAGGGGCTTCCTCTATTTTCTACTTTTTGAGGTTTCCTTCCCAGTCAGATGGACTGAAAATGTATCGCTGAAGGAAAATCGAACTGCACACAGAAGAGCCTGACCCTGGGAGCCAGACCCCAAACAGCAGCAAGTACCACCTGTTTCCTGCAAACCTGCTAGAGCCGGAGGCACTGGCGGCTTGGGAAGAGGCTAGTGTTTGTGCTGGAGCACTGCTCTGTGCTGGGAGCATCCCAGTAAACTTTGCCCTTCCCAGGCACGGGAGCTGTGGGAGGTGCTGAGATGGGATGCTGCTGTGGGATGCTGCTGTATAGCGAGGGAGCTGGGACGCATCCTGCCCACGTAGTGCCATGCGCTGAGGCTGGCCATTGCTCCCCGAGGCCGGAGGGACCTGTGGGGACAATGCCCCAAACTGGGACTGACACTGCAAACCGGCCCTGCAGTGTGATGGCCGCAGGCGGGTGCTGTGGGCCGGGTGCTGGCAGCAGTGAGCCTTTCCCAGGGCCTGGCTGTGCCCGACCCTCTGCCGTGAGCCCGGTTCCGGCTGTGGCCGTGGTGGGAGCTGGTGTGAGTCCAGGACACCCGGGCTGTCACCCTGGTTCGCTCTCACCGCAGCGCTCGCTGCCGCCTGCCAAGCGAGCGGCACAGGGGAGACAGCGGATAATGCACTGTATTGTGCTCTCCCAGCACCTTTTTCTCTTCCACAATCTAACCATTGTGCGCGTTTTATCGCGATTAAACTCCAGATGAACATCAAAGGGAAAGAAGTTCATCAAAACAGGAATGAAACAAAAGGCTTTTAAAGCATGGTTATCGTGCGCCGAGCAATGCTTTTCAAAGGCGGAAAAGTTCACGTTCGATATAGACTACCTTACTGGCACCACTTTAATGGCCAGAGCACCCAGGTGGCCCGCAGTGCCATCCAGCCAGCCGGACTTGTTGCTGGAGCTATTACAGCAAATCCCTCTCCGTGTTGGAGGCTCTGTCATGCGTGGGTGCTGGAGCTGGCCGAGGCCACTGGTGTGCAGGGGACAGCCAGCAACCGCCTGGGAAAGCACATGCTTTATTCATACAAGTGAGTGGCACTTTCCTGCTCAAAATATAAATAGTGAATGTTGGTTGTTTTTTTTTTTCTAATGAAGTGCTCTTTAATGACAGTTGGGAGACTTTGCTTTTCCCCAGGAACAAAATAACCAGGAGTAGTTTTGCCATTTACAACCGTGTTTATAAGCTATAAACTGTGTAAAATGTACTGGCCACTAGAGAATTTTTAAATCCAGCTGCAGCTCATGCACAAGCTCATTTTTTTTACTAAAAAGTGTAAAAAGAACTAGTGGGAGATGGGGTGAGGGAAGGATTAGTTATGGGATTAGCATTTCTTGCCCAGGGAAGTCAGGGTGGGTGTCCTTAGGAAGAAGTCCATTAGATAAGGTCACATTCCAAGAACAAGCTCAAGGTCTGATTCAAAGTTCCTGGCATCTAGGACAAGAAGTAATGGAATTTTAAACTCACAAATAAATATTTATTACTTACTTGATTACTTACTTTTTTCCCTTAAACCGGAATATTTTTTCATTAGGACAAGTTGACATCTTCCCGTTTCCCGTTCAATAATTGCTCCAGTGAGAGAAAGCACAAAAAGTGGAGAAGAAGGTCAAAAATGTTCCAGCCCTCACTGAAGAGAGTGAATAAAACTCATAGTCTTGGACTAATAAAGGATTTTCTTTTAATATCTGTGGAGAAAGACATTGTTTATGGGTTTGGAGAGCTAGATCATGGAAAAAAAAAAAGAAAATGTCCTCTATTTACCAGCCCTGCAATCACTGAGCATGCCAAACTCCCTTTGAGGTGATGCTCATTTTGTGCCAGAGAGACAATGTATCGCACGAAGCAATTTTCATTCTCAACTCTGGGTAAAAAGTTCGTTACTATGGGTTTATACAGGGATCAATTTATTCACCCCAAAGGTGGAAGACTGAGGATGATGTTTTGCAAGGAAGGGGGGTATTATAGACCACTTTGGTGGTTAAACATATAAAGATTTTGTAGGCAGAGCAAATACATTTGTTTATCCAAAACAACACCAGAAAAACTGAAGGCAACAAATACAAATAATAATCAGAGAGAGAAAGAAGCCTCTTTAAAGTCTTGTACTATCAAAGCAGCCATGCCCTCTCCACTAGCTTATTTTTAAAAATGACCCATGCAGGGAATATATGTGCCAGAAAAATCCACAGGCTGAGGGTATTACGTGGTGTGATCCAGACAAAGAGGAAATTTTTTTGTAAGTCCATATAAAGATGAATGCAAAGATAATCCACAGCTACAGAAAGCCTGCAGGTCGCTACAAAACCCCCAAGAAAGCGTCTGCAAGAAGGGGTAAACAATTAACACAAATTTTAAATCAATGTGCTGTCACCTTGATAGCCAGTGAAGTCAGCTAAGACGGGTGTAATATGATGAGACAGTTTAATTCTTGTTATGACATTAGCTGCAGACTTTTACAACAGCTGAAAATGCTGGAGTGAGAAGAGTTTCCAATTATCACTGAGCTACGATACACAACTCTGGATTAGACCGAGGCATGAACAAGGGCTCCTCAGTTTGACAAGCAACATGCAACAAAAGCTGCAGAAGTTTCCGAAATCTGATAAAGATATTTTCTCTTCTCTCCTCTTGCTGATACACTTCTGAAAAGGTTTATTTCAGATAAAATAAGACCATTTTAAAGAGCCTAGCAGTGAAACCAGCTCCCAAGCTGTGTGTGATACAGTATTATATATCATAAATCCGTACATCCAGGAGGTGAACTGAACCAATCTGAAGTGATTCTGTTTTCCCAGCATTAAGTTTCAAAAAATGAAAAGTCACCCAGGCTTGAAGCGCAGATAGACAGGTAATAAGCCATGACAGCACTTCACGGGAATTCGCAGGAATAGGCAAGTAGGTCTGGGTGTCAGCCATATAAATATGATCATCAGACCCAAAGCTCCGAATAATACCGCCAAGTGTGAGCATGTCAATATTAAAGGCAAGCGGGCTGTGAATAGGAGCCCGAGGCAGCGGCGAGTTTAGTAGATGGCCCGTGGGGTGGGGAGCTGCACCCCTTCCCCAGAGAGGGGCTAAGTCAGGCTGAAAACGCAGGTCCCCGAGCCGGGAATGGGCTGTGATGCGCACGCCAGCGGGAAGGCTCTCCTTCTGGGTAACGTGGAGCTGTGTTGTTTTGGGATGGTTTTGCTCCAGCTTTATTTCATAGCTTGTCTTTGATCTCTCTTTTTTTTTTTTTTGGTAAACCTCGCAAGAATGACATTCTTCCTGGACTCTGCATACAGAGGAGGATTTATGATGCCCAACCACGCACCTCCTTCATGGCTTTTGTCAGTCTCTTGGGGGCAATTGCAAACATGGGAAGTAGCTGGGATGTTTGAAATAACGACTCTTTAATCCAAAGGTGGCCTGCTTTGTATTGCTCATGTCGTATTACTCTGCCTTTTTTAATATAGCTTTTGAAAAATTGGGTCACGGTTTCCTTTCCTTTTCAGATCTTAGAGAAATCATCTTGTCAGGTCTCCCCCTATACAGTGCTTCTTTTTTCCCTCTGTGTTATCTCCCATAGCTGAGGATATAGGGTCTAGAAAGGAGAAAAGCAGCCTGGTAAGAAGATAACTGGGGAAAGGCCCACCCAGAGCTAGAAAAGCTCTTTGCTGAAAAATAAATTATAATTCACTAAAATTCCTTTTCCACGCTCATGAAAGCCCCGTGAATGATCCACTGATTACATCTCAGAAGCCCCTGCCACCCCTGGTTGGGTAAGGTCTTTTCTGAAAAATAAGTCACCTTTCTCTCAAATGCCTTTTGCTACTCTTTTAAAAGCCTTGTGAGCATTCACAAAAGTCACCCTGGGTGGCTTGGACTGCAGAGAGCAGCAAGGGTCCTGCTGCCTGGGGTGCTGTCAGACAGGGAAAAAGAGGGAGAAAAGCTTTCTTTTTCTCACAGAGGGAGAAAAGCTGAAACTCCACTCAAACTCCCCAAATCCTAGCAGGGGAGACCTGTCTGAAGTTAGTCCTTGTTTTTTTCTTTTTCAGCAGTCTTTATTTGGCAACTAATTTTTAAAAAGGTTAACCTGAAAAGTCGCTGTGTCATGCAGTACCTTATTCTGCATGATAAGGTAAGATAATTTCTCATTAAAATGGTTGGCTTTCGACCTCCTCCCCTCCCTGGTGAATGAATAAATAAATAAATACGCTTGAATATGTTCTGGAAATGCTCTCTGCTATTTGCAAAGCAGAAAGGAAAGCTTTGGGCATGCACCGCCCTCTCCTAGCCACTTTGGGGGCCAAGGGCGGCTGACGGGTGGCCAAGGGGTTATCGAGAGGTGACCAAGGGGTGTCTGGGGAGCAGCTGTCCCCTTGCAGGTGCCCCATGTCCTGCAAAACTCTCCTTACCTGCTTGGCTCTGCACCCAGCCCCTTCACACGCAGTTTCACTACCCTGGTGCAGTCCGCAAAGCTCTCACTTCAGGGTGTCATTTGCTGTCTGCTCCTCTCCCAAAAATTCACCTCCAGCTTTTTTATTCCGTGATGCCAAATCCCTGGAGTGAAAAGGGGCTTTCATGCCTTTATATGGAATTACAAACCTGTATTAAGCCTCAAATGATGTTTTTATCAAAAAATCTCAACAGCTGCCAACTTCCCTAAATCCCAAACTATCATTACGCATTTAGTCTTAGACAGGGGATTTTTCTGGATCTTCCCTCCTGACCCAATGATAAAGCCAAGTTGGTTTGAGATTGAAGATTCATTTATCTCTCCTTGGCAATTATCTCTATTACTGCCCACAATCCTTCCCAATCTTTTTAAACAACATCCTGCTATTAAAGCCACTTGGCAAGCATTTAAAGCCCTGGGATAAGTTAACCATGCACAAAATATCCCACTTGGGGAAGGATCCAGCTATAAAAATAAATGGTTTACGTTCCGAAGGCCATGGTTCAGGATGGGTATTCTTCATTTGTGAAGAGAGGTCATCATTGCTGACAATAAAATTATGTAGGACCTGATCCTCCCCCACTGAGCTCAATAGCAAAATCCCTCCTGATTTCAATGGTGTTTTCCGGGGTCAGTCGCCGGGAAAGCCGACATTCCACAAAGTTGCTGAAAATCTATAATTGGATATATTAAGAGGGCTTTCAAAGACATGTCAGATTTGGAGGCTTAGTGTAAACCGTGCTGCAAAGGGGATCATTTCATATAACCGAATCAATAAAGCTTTTTTTTTAACGTTACTTTTCTACTTGATCCCTGATGGCGGAAAAGCTAAGCTCTGGAGACTCGCCATCAGCATGGAGGAGGTGCCGGGAGCCTGGCCGGAGGGTGAGCTACTGCCCAGTGGGAAAGATCCTGCCAAGTGACCTGGTGTAAGCTGCCAGTCTGAGGGGTGTAATCCTGCAAGCGTTTGATCCAGCGGCTTTGCTTACACTATGGAGGTAACTCGTGCGTGTAAGTACTGGAATACCAAGCCCTTATTTTCATGGGGTTGCTGGTCTCCTGTCACAACACATCTCTTTGGGAGATATGATTGAGAGTTTTGATGAATTTTGCCGTCCCTTACATGTCTATATTTAGTAAAATGAAGCTTAGTTTGTATATTTGGAACAAGATATGGATTTATCTCCCAAACACATTTTTTTAACTCACGGGCTGTACTTCAAAGTGCTTTAATGCCACTTTGAAAATGCTCACTGGTAGCTCTTTAGGAACTGGAAATCTTCCATTTCTACTTACATGGTGCTTTTCTGGCTGATGAGCATCGTTTTCCCTTTGGTTCTCACACAGAGAAAGGGCCGCTTGGCGCAGAGCAGCTGTGCCAGGCAGGGCAGGCACAGGGACAGCAGCCTCAAGGAGATGTCCCCCCGTCACAGGACCCCAAGGCAGGGACACCAGTGTGAGGTTTGCACCAGGTTTCTTCACCCTTGCAGCGGTTTGATTTGTAAATACATGCGGGCCGTTTCCCCTCCAGCAATCCCCATGCCACGTGTCCCAGTTGTAGGGGTGGGGATGGGGAGACACCCGCAGCTCCCGCAGGTGACACTGCCATCTCTGCCATCAGGACCTGCTGTAGGTCCCTCTGTGGTTCAATTGGGTCCCCTCTGTGGTTCAGTCACACTTTCCTGTTGTTTCTCTTTCCTTACCATGTTGGCAAAGCAGCCCTCCATGGGGCCACAGTCACAAAGCTTGCTCCTTGTTCCTAGAGAGCTTGATTTTTTTTTCCTTTCCAGTGAAAGCTGAAATTCAGCAGAAGCTGATGCGACCACCATGGAGAAACACTGGTTCACCGCACTGGCTAGTACCAGCTTGATCTGGCTCCGGCTCCGGGATGTGCAGCCTACAGACACAATAATGAAAAGAAATATTCTGAAAAGGATGAGTCAGCTGGAGGCCGGTGGGGAGAGCGTGCGGGATCTGACTGGAATTTAAAAAGTTAGGAGGCTACATGTTGTTTTGAGCCCTGCCAGTGGAGAAACTCATACCCATGAAATGCTTTGTCATCTGGCATAATAATGTTACTTTGATGATTAGTTGGTAAACTCTTTTCAAAATGTTTTTAAACAATAGTTAAGTTCATGAAATATAAAACCTTCCTGCTGACACCACCGACAAGAGCCTGCTTTAGATGTTATTGTGAACTCTCTTCCCCAGAACCCCACCAGACTACTGAACAGCTGTGAAATCGTTCTTTTACTACGTATTAGATGATTTAACCATTAAAAGAGTTGAGGTAGCTTCACACCTTCACTTCTGTACTGTAAGAACATCTACGCTGATGTGAGCTGTACACCCACAGTTGTAACGCAAATCTTATTTCTTGCTTTTTGTATGTTTGCACCGATCGAGACAGCAGCAGTTTGGTGTGAAGCTTCTTCACTCACTCCTCCAGCCGGGTACCAGCACATCCTTCCTGCCTTCACCGGAAAGCAGCGCCTGGCATTTGGGTAATTAGCAGGACAGATAACGTCCAAAGATTTGTGGTTTTGACTGTAAGGTTCTTTAAATAAATGACATCAGAATTACATTTATTTGTTGTGTGAAAAGATCAACCTTCCATTCCCTCTTTATAAAGAGCTGATCTGTTCAGTCCCGCTTCCCAAGCCTGGTCAGACCAGTGGGGAGAGTCTGTGCTTGTTTCTGGAGCCTCTCCAAGCAGGGGGACGGGAAGGAAAAGCCACTGACACTGGCTGTGACTGGCCTCCCTTTGCGATTGCACGATGTCTGCCTTTCCTGTATTCCTTCATCTTTCCTTCTGATGAACCCTGTCATTTACAGAGATGCTGACATAAACCGTAACTGGTCATAAGAATGATGGGTACCCACTGGTGAGCATGAGGTGTAACTAATTGCTACCCCCTCTCAAAGAAGTAGGTCCCGTTCTCATGTGTGGATGAATGAGACATCAGTTCAGTCAGACTAAACCAGAACAGGTAACTTCTCAAAGTTATTTCCCGTAATCTTTTGTGGGAAGCAGGGAAGTACCAACAGTGTTTTATCACTCTCATTGACATGGTGTGAGATGTTATTCCCCAGCTGCCTGGGATGGTTAGCAAAGGACCTGAAGTGGGCTCAGAGCCATTGGTGGTTTTCACTGAGGGCTTGTAGAGGACCTTTACACTGGGAAAAGAGGCACTGCCGAGTTTTAGACAAGGCAACCCAGTTTTAGCCCCAGGAAAGTGCTGGAGCAAATAATCATACAACTATCTGTAAACCCCCAGAGGGGTAGCTACTGATGGGGATTTGTCAACAGCAAACTATGTTAAATCACTCCAGTTATTTTCTACAACAGAAGTCTTGTCATGTGGAGAGAAGCAGTGGATGTACCCCTGCCTCCAGCTTTCTCTCACTTTAGGCAGGTAGAGCTTCACATGACATTTTCTTGAGCAAGGTTAAGCAACGTGGTTTGGATGAAGATAGTGTAAGAGGTGCTGCAAAACCACAGTAACAGCAAGACAGTAGTAGCTGATTCAGTGCTAGTTCAGACTGGCAGTGAGGTGGGATTGAGGACAGTCAGCCTTGCAACCAGCCAATGCTTAGTTATCATCCTGTCCTGGATAGTGGAACTGATAGTACCTAGTTACAGTCTCAGACCTGGAAAATACAATTTATGAGGAACAGATGAATGGCTTAGAGTTGTTAACCTTAAAAGAGGAGAAGATGCTGGGAAGGAAAAGATCATAACAACCTTCAAGTACATTAAAGATGGTCACAGTGAGGAAGAGGACTTGCTCTCTGTGTTCATCCCGGGTAGGACAGGAGCAAATGGGCTTAGTGTGCAGTGAAGAGATTGAGCTCAAACGTAAAGCAAGTCTTCCCAGGCAGTAAGGGCAACGGACACCAGGACAGGCTGCTGGGGTGGTTCATGGGAGCTGCAGGGACCCAGGGGATCTTGTCTAGGGGCAGAGGGATGGCCCAGATGACCCACTGAGATCCCTCCCTGGCCGTTTTTATTTATACTGCCATGAAACAATCCTACAGGTTTCATTAGGATACCTCCTGGAACAAAGTTTCCTCCACGGGATTGTTTCTCTGCCGCAGCCCACCTGTATAATCCTTCTCTGGTGCGAAGTGGGTGTGAAACGCTGTTGCTCGGATGTGTGGCTGTCGTACACCTCCTCTCCAAAGTGCAAATAACTCCCCAGGCTGTGAGCCGGGGGGGACAGGCCCACGGTAAGCGATGGGCTCCAACTGATGAATTTTCACAGCAGGTGAGAGCGGCAGGAGACACACACATCACAGATTTCCTGTACGGGCAGTAACACTCAGGCAGACAAATTGAGTGAATACCCCAAGATGTGACTGCTGGGTCAGACACCAGCCCCCAGCATTACCCAGTGGTGGACAAATCCCTGCCCTCAGCCCTGGTGTGTGGCTCGGAGGTGGCACTTGCCCCATCTGTCTGTGCCGAGATGGGGGTGGGGTGACACTGCTCCATGGCCGGCTCCCAGTTTTCCTCATTACCTGCTCTAAGCTTCTCTCAAAGATAAGTGGTTCTTGTGCAAAGCCGCTAATTTAGTCCCGGCAAACAAGAAAATAAGTCTGGATGCAAAAGGCTGGTGGGATTTTGACAAGATGCATGTAGAGGTTGGGCGACTAGTCTTAATTAGGCCATCTTTGTTTACATTTGATGTTTATCAGCTAATTGGCATGGCAAGGTGTGAGTCACACAGCTTCCCTCTGGCATGAAATCAGTTCACAGGAGAAAAACTGGGAGAACAAATGATCCCAATTATAAGAAAACCCACTGTGCTAATTACCATCCCACGGACGACGGAGGCTCCCACCCGTGGCCTCGTGCAGGCGCCCGCCCCACCATCTCCCGTGCGTGGCCCTGGCGCTGGCACGCTCCTCCCGCCCGGCCCCCCGCTCCGCTCGGAGACCTGCCACAGCCCCTGTCACTGCAGGAGCAAAGGTGATCCTGTGCCAGATGCTCATTTGGTGCTGCACAGCATTTCTCAGGGACTAAGGCTGCTGCCTACACCACTGCCCTTTCTTTTCTTCCCCATTTTTTTGTAGCTTGGTGGAGACTCTGTTGCAACAACAGCTCACGGGGAATGTCTTGTGCTCCAACATGATGATGCCTGTCAAATCAAAGCCTGGATGTTCGCTACGGTGGAGCTGGACTGGAACCTCGCTGCTTAGGCTAATTAAAACCAATATTCTTGCCTTGACTCTTTCCTCCCTCCCACCTTTTAAAAATATTTTTAGACCATCTGTAAGTTGGCCAGTTTCCTGCTCTACCCTCCTTTTACTGCCTTGGCACTTGATTTCAATGCCCACACTCACATATACTTGCATCTATGTACTGTAAATCTCCATCTTTCTCCCTCTGTCTCCATCCTTTGGGGAAACATGTTGCCCCTATACCCTTTCAGGCCTTTCCCCTATACACTAAGGGTCCAGTGCGCAGGAATGTTTCTTGGCTGCCCTTGAGTTGAATGATGATCCTGGAGGCTTGGAAAAGCCACAAAGCTCAATGCTCTCTGTCTCCCTGTGTCTCTCTTGTCTTCCCTTCTTAGTAGGGGTAACAGATGGCTGAGGCTTTCACCAACAGTCCCGAACACATTGTCACTCCCAACTGAAAGTGAAATATTCAGTGGCATTTAAATTAAATAGACTCTAATGCTTCAGTAATATTAATTACGGTTTCATTCATCCCTGGCCTAATAAATCAACACATAAAGATAGGATGATCCCGTGGCTGGCAGCAAAGCAGGGCTATTCTGCCCTTTGTAAGGTTATGCACACAAAGCCCCCATTCTTATAGGGACATGATGGCCCCCGCAAACATCTGTGCTCAGCACCACTTGAGGAGAAGCCAAAGTGGTAACATTTAAACTTTTCTTGTCCAATTTGTCCACGCAACGGGGCTCAATTCAACAAGAACTTGCAAGTTAAAATTATAAAACCCATGTTAAGCAGGCGAAAACTTTTCAGTGGTTTGGCCTGAGGGCCCAGATTTATACCAGCAGCACTGGCTGAAGCCAAGGGCAGGGCATCCATTTTTGCAGCTGAATTTGTTACCCCAGCTTCAACTTTTAAAAGGGGGGGTGGGGTGGGGGCGGAGAAGGCTTGAAGGGTTTCAAAACCTCACAGCTTTAAGCTAAATTTCAGGATTTGGGGAGGCCCTGGGCAACAATTTTTCACACAATTTTTTTTGTGTGAATACCACAGGGGAAATAGGCTCTGTACTTCACCAACAACAGTTTTTTTCCCCTCACTGCTATACATATGTAAAAGGAGGCTAATAAAACGGTTGAAGAAAAGCTCGCTGCTAGTAAATCTTCTGCAGACAAAACCCTCCACTTGTGATGTTTCAAAGCTGCCCAGAGCTACCAGTTTACCCCAAAAGTCCCAACTCAGAGCGGCTGATTGGAAAATAAAAAGCCCTGTGCATAAAAACTTCACTCCAATTGTTAAGCAGTGAATGCGACGTTTACATACAGCAGCTTTACTTGACCAAATGACTCCCAAGTATACAAATGAAAAGCTTGTTGCCTACACAGTTTAGGTCCTTTGGAAAGGTCCAGCTAGAGTAGGTTTATAATGAAAAAAAAAAATTATAATGACAAAGCAATGCTATATCTTGTAAGTGCATCACAGAAAGCTGGATCAGCTGAAAAATCAAAACGAAACGGGAAAAAAAAGACAGAGCTGCTTGATGAAGCATTGGGAGGGCCCTTCTGGGAGACAGCAGAGAGGAGCAGCCTCCTTCTCTGCAGAAACACAGCCCCTCTCCGCCTGTGTCCTGGCGCGGTTGCCCCGCGGTGATGTCTGCGTTGCAGACGGCTGCCTAGCGCAGCAGGACTCCAGCTCACCGCCAAGGAGGCAGCTCGGCAACTGGCAGTGATCTTGAAGCAGCCCAGAAAGGAGTGACGTGGAGCCTGTTTCTGCAGGTAGCACTCACCGCAGCACGGCAGCTCCCAGCCCTCTGCTCAGCCATCACCTCTGGGAACGCGCAACGTGAACGAGGCCAGCCTGTGCCAACAAGCTGACCTGCAGTTAAGTGCTTAGGAGAGGGATTTTCAGAGCCAATCCCTTAAGCAGAAAACTATTTAAACTACCTTGGAACTAAATGCTGAGGAGCTTACCCTGAATTTGGCCAGGTGGAGGTCTCTGCTAATCCTGCTACTGGCATCATACCTCTTCTAGTTTGTGCAGAGCCAATAACCCCCCTGCTACGCTGTGCAGTGCAGGTATTCCTGACCAGGTGTCTCAGGATATCTGCCACTGTCAGCCTGGGGTTATCCCACTTAAACTCCATCAGCCTTCTCTGTTGATAATGCCTATTGGTTTGAGACCTTTTATTATGTTTTCTTTAGGTCTCTCAAAAATCACAGTATTTTGTGAAGGCATTTTCAGACAATGCTCTTTTTCTGTACCCTATTGTCCAGCCCATCTGCTGGGGGACTTGCACGATCAGGCTTATCTCATTTAGGAGCTGTGCTCCTAGGCCTCTGGGGAGCTGCCGCCAGGCTGGCCGTTGACTGAGGTGTACCCACAGTGCTTTGGCAGCCTTGTTGCAATTTTGACAAATCAGTGACACCCACCTGAAGGATCAGGACGCTGATGTGCTTGCTAAGGGATGTTTTCTCCCTGTGTTTTAATGTGGGAAAAAAAAAAAGCAATGCTGCCTGGCTGGCATACGGCCCCTCTCCACTCGTGTTACTGAGAGCAAGTTACAAAGCCATAACAGAGGGACTGATATGTCACAGTCTCTCATGGGTGGCTTTTGGCAGTGATGGTGTGGGGCTCGGAGGAGCTGAGCATGGCAATGGGATGTGCCAACCGCCTCGTGTTCACCTTCCCAAAGCACCACTTGCAGAGCCTGGCCTGGATGCATGAACAGGGATGAGTTCTCACCAGCGAACAACTGCCCCGTGCAAGAGTGAGTGCAGAACCTCTGAAAAGATTTCTTGAAGTAGGAAGGAGAGCTCAACCTTCTCCCCACCTCCTTTGCTCTCTCTCCAGTTTTAGGCTTTGCATCTAATGCAGCAGTCAGGTGTCCCCTGGTTTGAGGCACAGGTCTAAGGATTCTTTTTGAGAGGCTGAACCTTCTTTTTCATGAGGACAAAGCCTGACACCAACGAGGGGGGACTGTGGGCCATTGACTGTCCCTGCTGCCCCTGCCGTGGCTCCAAGGGAGAGCGCAAGATGGGGGTCCCAGTGGCAAGGCCAGTCCTGAGCGAGAGGCAGGACTGGGCAAGGCCGAGCAAGGGCAGGGCTGTGGGCAAGCAGCCAGAGCCCCCATAACTGGGAAGAAAGAGAGGAAGGGGCTGTGCTGCAGCAGAGCGGGGGGCCCAGGGAAGCCTGTCAGGGAGCAGCAGCTGCTGCTGCACCCCAGGGTATGGCTCGTCCTCTCCCGGCTGCAACTTCGCTGCCTCCACCAGCCCGCCTCTCCAGGCAACTGCCGATTTAGCCTGAGCCTAAAACTGGCCTCGGGAGTCGGGCTGGCAGGAAGCTGCTCGGCTCCTTAACGCTCCAGCTGGCTCCAAGGCCGTCACAGCAGCTGAATGAGGAGGATGCACTCCTTTGCATGTCCTAGTTCCCATCAGCTGGCCGGGGCCAGCACAGACCATACACCCGTTAAAAACAGACAACGAGAGCACGTGTTGCTCCAGCCTGTCCTTACCCAAGGCTCTGATTCAGGATCATGAGAAAAAAAACTGGGGCAGGAGTTGCACGAGACCTGTGGCGTGCTTCTGGGGTGGAGGTGGCTGAGCGCCGGCCCTGGCACTGCCACCACAGAGGAGCCCATGCCAGCCCTGGCCATGTAATATGTGGGGCCAGGGGCAGGCACTCTGTGAAGGCAAACACAGGAGACACTGCATAGGTTTTGAAGGCAGAAATGTGCCTAAAGGTGACTTCCTTTGGTTTGTCCATTCAAAATAATTCATAGAAATATTAAATGAGTTGTCCTTTGGAAAAAAAATATTTGAAGTTTCAGGACTCAAAAATTAGTGTGTGTCCACGCAAATCAACATTTTGTCCTACCCCTTTCTGGAAGAAGGTTCACCGTGGGTTTGACACATTTTAAGCTGCTCTTTATCAGTTATGCTACTGTCCCAGTGAAGGGGCTCCTGCAGGCTACTGTCTTCAAAGTAAGACCAGTCCCATACACTGGTAACTATACCAATAACCAGTGGATGGGTTGTGTATAAATACTTAACAAAACTCTAATTCCTTCATTTAGGCTACATTTCATTCTGAAATACATCGCCATGGCCTGATCTACAGACAAGGAATTAGCCTTTCAGAAGACTGGCCTGGAAGATACACCCCACCCCGCCATCCCCCATATTTATGAACCACAGGAAACATTTGAATGAATAATGTTGCTAAACCCTGGTCAAAAGTTACGGAAATCCCCTGGTTTTAGTCAGGGAAGCATTGTTCACTGTTCATAGACAAGAAGGAGAACACAAAATTCATCATCCCTTCCCTGAGCAGAGGTTGGCAGATATTTTTTGGTAGCACAGACACCAGTCTGCATTTTGAGGCCGTTAGCGATTGGTGACTATTCCCAAAAGTAAAACATGCCATCTTAAACCATGCCTGTTTCTGTGCTGGGACATGAACCTTATTCAACCTGTTATGGGCTAACAGAAGAGTAAGTTGAAAAGCAATTTTTATATGGTGGAGAACATTTCACTGAATTTATCTCAAGATATAATTTGCTAACATCTTTTTCTTCCTTGCTCAAAACATTCTCTGGTAGTTATTTTTAGTAATGACATACATGTTTCCTAGTAAGGCACTTTGCATTTAATAGTAATAAGAAATAACATTATCTACTTTTTATGATTGAAGATTAAGGAGTCTATTCTAATAGCTTCAGTTGTCAACACAAGGCCCTCTGGTACTACGTTTCTTAGCTTCCCTGTTGTAAAAGAACATGTCTATGTAGATATTATTAATTTATCATTGCACAAAACAAAGTTTATGAACACTTAATATTTAATGTGCTGTGAATTTAATAATAAAAAATTAAGACTCTACCTTACATCATTTTTTAACTATCAGATTTTTATTCTTCTCATTAGCCCTTTATGGCTCTATTCTGAGATTTTAAACTCCTGACTTGGGTTTAAAAGCACTTAGTTGTGTATACTGAAATGTAAATACTTAATCTCTAGCCCAGTTGAATACAGGGACAATACCATGATGAAATGAAGCACAATGGCTTTTCTACCATATGTGGAACATAGGGATATAAATATAAAGCTGTACTGAAGTCCGTTGAGCTGCCCCAAGTTACATGAACTGAAGAGCTGGGTCCTTTCCCTTAGTAACTTCAACAGCTAGGTATGCTTGGTCTACTTTCAAAAAGCCCTGATGCTTTTTGCCTTGATACTTTGCCTGGTGAGTGGGTAGACACCCGTTAGCTTCTCAAACGGCCTTTACTACTTCTATCTGTCCAAGCAGTTTCTTGTGTAAGCATAATTAAAAAAAAAAAAAAAAAAAAAAAAAAAAAAGTAGTTTTCTACTGCAAAAGATTAACAGATCTTATTTATTATTTGACTTTAGCTTACAGACCTCATCATTATCTGGAATTGTGCTCTGGGTGCTCAGACTAAACAAAACATGTTGGGGTCTTAAACCAGGGAAAGTGTCTTTTGATGATAGTGGCATTATGTGGCCCAGCCCCAGCTGAGGATCTGGCTCTGTTATGTCTCGACACACATATGCTTGTGGTATATGATTTTGTTCCAACAGTGTGATTCATTCTAGATTTCAAGTACAGAACATGATTCATACTCATTTCTTTCTTTACATTAGTATTCTCTAGCATAGCTGTTGAGGGTTTAGTCAGAAGAATAATTAATGTTTGGTTGATAATCTGAATCCCAACAGCTCATCCCAGACAATGTTTCTTGACAGCAAATCCTGCACCACAGAGATTAAGGGACAAATTTGTAAATGTCAGAAGGCAAGGACTGCACATGGAAATGCAGGCCACAGTCACCAGCACACCCCATCCACCCTGCTCCATGCCGCTGCGCAGCGGCCGAAACGTTCCCACCGCACCATCACTGAGACACAGCCCCAGTCTGATGGTATACAGCCATCGTGGATTTAGGCATGTAGATCACCAGCCATGCATTTAACTGGACATTTGCACATGCAATTATCTGACTTGCACACCCAACATCCATGTGCCTCTTGGGGTTTGCACATCCTGCTATCCAAAGTAGCCAAGCTTTAAAGTGGCTGCAACAAAAATAGAGAAGAAGCCTTCATTTTGTTAAAAATCTGGCATGGATTTCACTTTTTTTTCTAAATGAGACAGGAGGCAAATGTTCTCCAACAAAAGATAAACAACGACAATCAGAGCTGGAATATTAATACGCCTGAGTATGGGAAACAAGAAGGATGAGCCAGAAAGGAAATCAAACAATGAGCTCGCGCCTTGCTGGGTGATTATCCCAAGCGGAGAGCCATTGTCAGGGCTGCTCCCTCAGAGAGAAGCATGCACAGTGAGAGGAAAGAAGTGGCACTATCCATAAAAAGGAAATTGAGATAACCACTAGGAAAGGATTCAGAGTAGAAAAAACAGGTTGCTGGTAATGGAGGAAAAAATGAAATCTGAGTACTGATGACCATTGCACATCATCAGGACCCTTCAGAAGGAAGGACAGAAGGAAGATTCACAATTGCCATTGACAGCTTAATTTGATACCCTGGCCAGAGAACACCAGCAGATGAAGTTCAGCTCCCTCTTTGCTTTGGATGTCTTTGCTGGCAGAACAGCATGAGGAGGAGATCTTCATGAGTTTGATCTTACAGGAACCTGCACGGTACCTGCAGGTATTTTACTCAAGGGGAAACCAAGAATTTATATGCCTGTATTTTATGAGATGAGGCTTCAGAGAGCACACTGGTACCTGCCTGAACTTCAAAAAATGGTCATCATTTTACCACTACAGGCAGGGCTTGTCTAAGGGAAGAATTTGGCCTTAATGGCCAAAGTATCCCAATAGGTCATTTCATAGTATTAAAACTGTGATCACTGGAGAAAATGTGGAAACAGGCCAGCTCCTTACCAGGCACAGTTATTTCTAGCTATTTCACTGGAAATTCCATGTGTGAATAGCTTCCAGACACTCACCACACCAAATACTGTGGGTGGGATGGGAGCGTGGTGCAGGGAGCAGGCAGAGAGGGTATCCCCTTGCCTGTCCACTCCTGCAGGACCCAGGGGTACCTCACTCCTCCTGAGATCTAACAGCTATCAGAGGAAGATGATTTCAGGGAATGAAAAACCGCAATGGCAAGCATGATGCTAGGAAGGTGACTTATCACCTGAAATATCACAAATCATCTGCCACTGTATCACACTATGGGTCCCCTCTTCCACTCCTCACCGTTACTCTGAGAAGCTCACAGTCAGTCTCTCCAAGAAAGTGTCCTCACAGGTCAGAGCTGGTGTGAAAAGGGGTTTTCCTCTCACAGTCTGCATGCTGCAAAAGAAAATTACTCAGTTCTTCCCCTCTCCTCTCTGGACAACAGGACAATCCCTTGCACAACTTGTCATTGACCTGGTTGCTACAGGTGACTTTCAGCATAACACCAAGGGGACAGAGCTGCAAAATGCCACCAAATATAAACCCTAAGAGAGTAAACAGCCTCCACCAAATATGAATGATGGTACCTTGGGTTTTCTAAAAAGAGTATCACTTACTTGAATAAAGTAAAGTAATAGGGGTGGGTTTTTTTGTTTGTTTTTGTGGTTTTTTTTTCCCCCATACTCCTGCAGTTCTTGGAGTCTATTTCTGTTGCATTCAATGACTGTGCTGCCTGAAACATAGAGTGACATTTGGCACCAGAATCTTTCCCACCCACCAAGACTCAGACTGTGCTTTATCAACCAGGCTGGTTGGCTCTGACTGTGGCTAACTAACCCTCAAACCCAGGTTTGTCTTGCTTGGTGCTTTACTACTACTTCATAGCTCTCTGCAGAGAACTTAGTATTTCATCTCCTTCCCAGGCAATAATTATATTACAGATGCGAAAAACCACACAGGGCCATAACGTAGGGACTAGGGACTGAATGTCAAGTGTCCTAAGAAAGTGACTGTTCCTTGAAGCTCTCATGATTAAAGTGCTGCCATATGAAATTTTGGAATACATGCGTGTAACTCTTTCCTGCAAGTGTTTTTTTAAACTCAGGCTGGATCCTTTAATTGCAAGGCTGGTGAAAGCTGCTTTGTAATTTCCAGAGGGTTTGTGTAATGCATGTACATATTTAGTGAGAGGTAATAAACCCTTCTTCACCTCCCATCCAATGAAGCATTAGCACCACCAGTTGGTCATCAAGCCTGAATAACACCCAGTTCCAACTGCAATAACAACGCAAGAGCTTTGTTCAGGTTCTCAAGAGCAACGTGTTGTGTCATCCAGATGTATTGTTTAGTTGGCCTGAAGCTGAGGCAAGACATGTTAAAATTGCATGGGTGTATTTTTTTTCTGGGTTTGTTGATTGTACATGATTTGTTCCAACTTGAAATTTAAACCACACTAATTAGGGAATTAGAGAACTGTAATGAGGAGCTCAGCTAAATACCAGATCTCTCAGCACAGTCACAGTTTTCAGTTCACTGGTGAAAGACTGAAAAGGATCCAAAGAAAACACTATTAGTGATTTGGGCTTCTCAAGCATCCTGATCCAAAGATGTACTAACCTGCAGAGGGACTTGGGGCAGGCTAAGGTGCTGATTTTCAGTTCTTATGTCAGTAAATTGGGTCGCAAAACTGCTTCCTCATGGCACTCAGCTAGACTGCCATGGGCATGCAGTGATGCTCATGTCTTCAAAGACAGATGTGTGTCCCTGGTTACTTGAAGGGTTTATCCACTCTCCTTTCCTATTATAGTTTGCATAATTGGCAAATGTTTTCCCTTTTCCTGGTTCTCTGTTTTCCTCTTCTCCCGTGTTTTTTCTCGTGAAGAGGTGTGCTGGTATTTCACAGCACTTGCAGAGATTTCAAGTTTCATTCTTGCACATCACCCAGGGATTTAGCAGGAACATGAACTACCCTTGTACTTGCTTTACAGGTCTTTTCTATGGTGAGAGTGATCTAAGAAACTCTGAACGTAAAAAGGAAGCAAGATCACCAAATCTAGACTGTTTCAACCACCACTTCATGACTGGCTAAGATTATAAGGGTTATAACCAAGACCACACTCTGCAAGGAATAACACCTCCCAACAGAGGAAACAGTTTGTCAGTTGAGTACATACAAAGGAGGTAAACTATATAACCTGCTCCCTTACAGAAAAGCTAACCATTACACATAGAAAAGTGACTCTAGGCCCCCTCCGAATTCTAACATTAATATCTGGCCCATAGCACCAGTGTGATTAGTACACGTTGGTGTTTTGCTGTGTCTCGCACAACTCTGTTCAAATTACATCCTTGCTGCCCTCCCTTCTTGGGATGGCATCTAACAGTGGCACCCGAGACTGTAAAAGCTAATTCACTCTGGCAAGATTGTCGTTCTCAGAAGCAGCATGTCCAAAAAAATGCAATGCCCTAGACATTTTTGATATTGTTAGGGTTTTTTAATTAATCTTGCTTATAGGTGGGCGCAAGAGTCTTGGCGATGACTGTGGCCTCCCCACGCTATGCCCTGTACAAGCTCTGAGCAAGGGGCAGGCCTTGTCGAGCAGTTTTACACTCCAGGACCTGCTATCATGAGTTGCTGGTGGGGTAGAAGTGTGACACTGATGCCAAGCCCAGGACTTCACCATGACTCTTGAAGCTTGAACAAGCTTCAAGACAATAGACAAGACAGATAAGGAAAAAAGGATTTGGAACTCAGTTTTTCCCACTGGAAAAGTTCTGATATTCTTTGTGGTACTCTTGCTACATACTCTCCCTGTTTACACTTGATAGACTTGTACAAATAAACATAATAAAAACATTTTAATTTCCTATTTATTTGCACATTCGCACATTCCTCTCTTCCTTAGTCAAAATGAGCTTTGATTTGAGGATATTCCCACAAAACCGTATGTAATAGCTGAATACAAATAATCTATGATGTTTTCAGTGACTAAGACACTGTTAAAAATGTAGAGCAAAATATCACAGTTCTCAGTATGACTTTGTGCCTGATGTTGGCACATGATGCTTCCAAACCAAGGAGCTTGACTCATGTGAGTAACACCACAACTCCTCACCTGAGCAAGCATTTGCAGCATTCAAGCCCTGCCTTCGCAGGTTGGAAGGCTTTTGAGATTTTATTTTTTTTCTTTCAAGAGCTTATTAAAATTGAAAAATTATGCAGCCCATTGCTTAGTTGTTTCTCATATGCTTTCCAGTGCTCAGAGAGCATATCGTTTTTGTACCTTGGTTCTCAGCTACTCAGGCTCTCTCTCTGAAGAGGCTGGGCAATCTTCAGTGCCATGCAGCACTCAGAAGTGGCGCTTAGACTGTAAATATTATATGCTGCTGTAAGAACATTTGAATGGTAATACTCAAGCAATTACTTTCCTTTCAAGATCATTAAACACAAATCTGACTTGTATTTTAATAGGACTGCCAATGTATTTAATGGGGGGCAGTAAAGGGTAGTTTTTTTCTAATGGATGAATGTTTATATTATTATCCACTCTGAGAGACCACATTAGGAGGAGACTGTATAACGCTCATGTGTTTTGCCTCAGTCCTTTTCACACAGTATTCAAATTTTTCTCAGTTCTGCATCTTACAGTATGATGGCAAAGCTGCATCTACAATAAATCCCACAACCGTATTCTTATTATGAGACAAGAAAGACCAAATAGAGTCATGTTGAAAAGAATTTGCAATTTGCATTTCCCTCATGTCTGTTAAAATTTTAGAGAAAGCCAGTTCTTGGCAAGTTGACAGGTTTGGACAGTGACACCTGCTATGCAGCCATGGGACAGGACTGTAGGACTGAGAGAAACATGAGCGTCCTCACGCCACCCTGCAAACGCATGTGGGGACTGCTTGGCAGCATCCCTCAGCAGGGTCAGTAGGTGTTTCTGCCTCTATGTCTGTTCCCACTTGTGCTTGGGCTGCCAAGAAGAGTGGTCATCAGTGTGAGACATGCCGTGGGTGGTTGGGTCTGCACAGAAGTCAGCAACCGCTCTGTCACAGCACAGACCCACCCACCACCACTGCTGCCTCCACCACGGGGACCAGCTGGCTGAAAAGCAAAAATATCTCCCTAGTCTCTTATCAACTCTATAAGCAATTTGGACAAATTTGTTCCTGACTACTTATTTCGTATTAGTAGAACACCTGCATCATCTTGTCATTGTGAATTGAAGTCACATAGTTTTACTGAAGACAGGGTATGGGGTGGGCAGGAAATCATAACCAGTTTGGGCTGATCCTCAACAGGGTGTGTATTTTCAGAGCTCAGGAAAGAGCAAATGCTGCAGTCTGTGTCCACTTGCCACTCACTCCTCAGAAGTGAAGGCTGGAAATGACTATGCTACACAACTGGTGAACAGCTGGTAGCCTCTGGACAGTAATTAGAAAATTCTGACTAATCTTTTCTTCCCACTTGCACACATACTGTAAACCCTCCCCTGCTAACTGCAGTGAAGGATCTGGATATATTTCAGAGCAAATGCAGCTCTATAGGTTGTGCAATGTTATTACCTGTGCACAAAATCCAGGACTAAGAAATATATTTTTCTAAGATCAGTGCTTCTGCATCAGTCTGAATTTATCCATAGAAGTTTGTTGTTCAAAACAGCACCCAGCTCAATAGCTGAGAATGTGCACAAACCACCTGTATCCTCCCTGAAATGTTTCAGGCACAAATCTTCATGTCTCCCTGTTAGGTAGTTGTGGGCAGTAGTTATTACAAGCCTATCAAGTAGAATTTGGTAGATGTTTATAGGTCTGCATTGTAAACATTGCAATAAAAAACATCAGGAAGGTGGCTCTAAATCTGGAGGTCATGGAAAGAAGCCCAGGAGTTAAGGAGAAAGCAAGAAAATTACTTTGCATTTTAGTGGACAACAGCAAAAGCCAGCCAGGAATTGTGACAGGACCACATTTATAACCAGGATGCATCGTGCTAATAAATAGGGTGATAAGGGTGGGACTCTCCAGTCATGAATGGTTTCTACAAGTTGAAGGCAGTAATAATGAAGGTGAGTACTTTCATCTCCCCCCTCACCCTGGAGGACAGAGAAATCATATTACACTGAGATCCCCCCACCCTGCTATCTGCCTGGCATAGCTCTGCCCCAGCAGCACCTCTCTGAGCTCCTACTTGCCCAGAGCTTCTCCAGGGCTAGGGGACAGCTTTACCAAAAATTCCCGCCCTTAGAGAAGAAACGCAGCACGGAGGAGGCAGCAAAGGCACTACACAACTGCAAGGGCAGAGAAATGTGTGGAGCACAGTATCTAAGAGCTGGGATACAAAGTCCGAACATGTTCAGTGGTGAGCATGCTCCCAGAAATGTATGGCTCTTCTAAGAGAGGTACTCCAAGCACTAGAGCTGCCATGTTTGGGACTATTATTACAGAAAAATGTTACATTTTCTGGGTTAAGGATGGTTATCTGGAATTCATGGATAATTTAGTCCTTTTGCTTGCAGAAATAGTTTGATATGCTCTTTAAATAATCATATAAAGAGACTGATGTGTGATGTTTGTGGGTTCAGATGTTCTGAAAAGTGACATTCCTGTATGGCAGAGAATAAAGCTTAAAAGGGGATATTATTTATAAAAGCACCACCATGCACAGGCAGTGTTTATTTACCATTTAAATGCCTCATTTCTGTTCTGGCTGTCTGTGCTATAATTTGCACAGGCACTTAAACTTGAGTATAAATAAATGCAAAGAAGTAGTGGTTATGCAGAGTTAAGATGAGGAAATCAAGCGCTAAAAGATGGAGACCACTCCTGCAACATTGGTTCAGCCATCTTATCCACCTTTAACTTCTGCTAAGGGTTCCTTTACTGACAAGCAACCCACACTTGCATTCAAAGAGCCCGATCAGAATATCAGTGCTGAAGATGTGGCTGAGATTTAATGAGTGGACGGGCAGCGTGAGCCCAGCACCGGGTGGCATCTCGTTATTACTGAAATGCACGGGATGTGATAAGGCACCTCAGGTATCTTGCCAAGATCCTTGAGATGGCAAACATTTTCCTCTGGGCAAAGTGAGGCACAGACTCTGCTCCAGGATGAGGACAGCTGGGGCCAGGGAACAGGCCCAGGACAGCTGGTTGCAGTGGGGACATTTGTCACTGTCCCCCATGAGTGTTAGAGAGGGGGTGGTAAAACTGCACGTCCTCCTTGAGCTCTGCCCCTCACGCCACCAAATCTGTAAATGACCTTTTTGTTCCTGCACATTTAACTCTCCCCTGTGCTTATGGACATGTATATGGGAGCAGTGAGGTCACGTCAAGCACACACAGCCTCGTGGGAACATGGTGCAAGGACACGCTGCTTCCCATGGGCAGGGGCATCAGGCAGGGAAGGCAAGGATGCTCCCGGGATGGCAGGGCACCTTGCAGTTCAACTGCTGAACTTGGCAGGGAGAGTTTTACACCAAGTTTATGGTTGTGTTTCAGGAAAGAATTCTGTGGTAGGGCTTGATTAAAATATCAGGAGTATAAATCCCTCATCTGTCCCCTTTTCTTTATCCAGGCAGAAGAAGTGAGTTATTTTGGCAGAGAAGAAGGAGGCACCTCTTGCTTAATGTGTGTTAAAAGGGTGGAAAAGTCACATCTTTTTTCATGTTACAGCAAACTCCTGACTTGAGAACAGGCAGTAGGAAGGAAGGTGGGTGTAAGGAAAGATTATGCTACTTACCATGTCTGCTCTGTTGCAGTCCATAGGGAAGGCGCCCTCTCCGAGTTGTCCTCTTCCATAACACTGTCCATGATGACTTTTACAGCACAGCCCTACCATCTCCTGTCTTTGAGAAACTGTCAGGGGGTGCGCAGCCTCTCCAGTGAGTCCCTGCGAAGCCTCTCCGCACTGAGCGAGCACCCGTAAGGCAGGAGGAGCAAGCAGGGGAATGGGGGTGCACCAAAATCTGGAACGGCTCTTTCAGAGTTGTAGTCTGCTTCTGTGTCTGGGACAAGCACTGTTTGGAAAGTCGAATCTTCCTCTGCTTCTGCTTTGACTGCAATAAAGAGAAAAGCCTGTGACCAGCAAGATGTTCAATGCCAACTACACTGCAGGAAAAAGAGAGGAGATACTGTCTGGGGTCTGCTCTGGCCTCAAGTGGGGCTCAGGCAGTGTCAGTGCCATACTCCTCTTTGGGATGCTAACTTGTATGAGGAGCCATCCTTATCTTTTTTACACCAGCGTTTTCCATCGATATCAGTACAGCGTTATTCTACATGCATGTTACCACTGCAAAAGCATTTTCTTAGTCCTGCCTTCACTGCAGGGAAACCTGAGACATGTTTGTTTTGTGGCAATGAGATCACACCTCTTCCTACAGCAGGTGAAGGGGCATGAAGCAGCACCCGGGCAGCCTGCAGGATTTACAGGCTTTAGCAGGCCAGCAGGCACGGCTGTGCCCGGCTCCCTGGCACCGTGCACAGAGCCATGCCTTTCACAGCGCAGCTGGACACCAGGGTGCAAAGCGCCAAGTGCTCTCCTGGCTCTAGTCCTGGCCATGCAACAGCAGTGCAAAAACTGATTGTGTCGGTCCCTGGCCGGTTCCAACGAGCTGTCACATTTGCAAGGTATTTGAGAGGGAAAGACAAGTTGTCCTTAATGACCAACAGGGAATATCAGGTTGTTGTTCCTCTCGTGCTTCCCTAACAACTCTCCAGCTTTGCCCACAGCAGTGTATTTGTTCTCAGTCATATTCTGATTTAGTTACAGTTAGCGTTGGGAACAGCCCCCGTCATTACTGACAGCAATGGCATGTAGCCTATTGACTTCAGGAGGAGGGGAATGTCACCCCTTCTACGCGCATGTGTGTGCATGAGTGTCTTTTGAAAAGCACCAGGCATATATTAATACTAATAAGTAAGACCGCTATTCCTTTGCGTCTGCCTGATAGGCAGCAGGCAGAGTATGAACCACTGTATGTACCAATTAAGTGAAAAATAAATAACAGAGAGAAAGTAATATCTTTAACAGTGTATTCACTAGCACATACATATTTATTAGATACCAAATATAATGCTGCTCATATCATTGTTTATGTTCATCTTGAAGCCCTAAAGTCATTTATGGTATCATGGTTTAAATAATGAAAGTCAGATGCAGTAGCATTGTCATATTCCTCAAAGCAGGCTTGCTGATAAAGCTCTGCTTTTTATTTTTTATTTCTTGCATACACTTGGTCTGTTATTGATGTGCATCCTGCCTGGGACACTTCCAACCCAAGGGAATAAAATTCCTTTCTAGACTTCTTTCAGTCTGCAAGTTTTAATGCAACTTTATCTTAGTCATTCCATCCTTAAAGACAAACCACAGGGAGATAGAGGAAGCAGAGCTCATTTAATGAAGGTGCAATGTGTGGGTGAGGTGAGTAAGGAAACACAGCAAAAGCATGTGTGATTTGCTGGATGTATGAGTAGCAAGGGGACTGTCTCCCGGAACATGGTTAAATATGTAAACTCTGCCTAGGGAAAATGTTTATTTACCTAGATTGACAGCGATCAGGGTAAAAAGCACTCAAGATAAGTGGCTCTTTAGGCAACTTTAATTTGTTGATGGATGGATTGATGGGAGGATGGTCAAAGAAATGACAACATAACTCTCTGTAATGGAGATATCCTGTCTGCCGGAGTTTGCAGTACCATTTGGTCTAATTATTCTTGATCCATCTATGAGCAAACTTTGCTCCCAGTGAGACAAGTTGTCATTCCTTTTCCTTAAATAAGAAGATGAGGAAGTAAAATCAAGAACAATTAGAGCGAAGGATGATGACATCTTCTGCAGTCAAAAATAGATACAAAATCATGTGTATTGCTTAAAGATGGTTTACTATATTAATTGAAATAGTTGTGCGTTCTATTATGCAGTTTGTATGGGAACAGATGGTCCATTTCACAAATTAAGCCTTGTCTTTTTACATTGCTTCAACAAAATAATGGTGAACGAACACTGCTATTGTAAATGATCCCAAGTTCAAACCTTGCAGCATCAGAATGGGCTACGCTTTTCTGGTGGAAGTTTGCAGGAAAGTAAGGAAATTGCTCATAGAATCATAGAATCATTTGGGTTGGAAGGGACCTTTAAAGGTCACTAGGACAACCCCCCTGCCACGAGCAGGGACGTCTTCAACTCAGAGCCCATCCAACCTGTCCTTTAATGTTTCCAGAGATGGGGCATCTACCACCTCTCTGGGCAACCTGTTCCAGTGTTTCACCAGCCTTCATCCTACAAAATTTCTTCATAATATCTAGTCTGAATTTACCTTCTTTTAGTTTTGTTGTGGTTTGGACCTTGGCTGGCAGCCAAACACCATGCAGCTGGTTAAACCGGTGCCCCTTGTCCTATTGCTACAAGCTCTAGTAAAAAGTCTGTCCCCATCTTTCTTATAAGCCCCCATTAGGTATTGAAAGGCCACAATAACATCTTCTTGGAGCCTTCTCTTCTCCAGGCTGAACAACCCCAACTCTCTCAGCCTGCCCTCATAGGAGAGGTGTTCCATCCCTCTGATAATGTTTGTGGCCCTCCTCTGGACCATCTCCAACAGGCCCATGGCTTTCCTGTGCTGAGGACTCCGAAGCTGGATGCAGCACTCCAGGTGGAATCTTACTAAAGTGGAGTAGAGGGGCAGAATCACCTTCCTCGACCTGCTGGCCAGGCTTATTTTTATGTAGCCCAGATTATGGTTGGCTTTCTGGGATGTGAGCGTACATTGCTGGCTCATGTCCAGTTTTTCATTCATCAGTACTCCAAAGTCCTTCTCTGCAGGGCTGCACTCAATCCTGTCATCCCCCAGCCTGTCCTGATACTGGGGATTGCCCTGACACATGTGCAGGACCTTGCAATTGGCCTTGTTGAACCTCACAAGGGTCACATGGGTCCACTTCTCGAGCTTGTCCAGGTGCCTCTGAATGGCGTCCCATCCCTCGGGCACGTCAACCTCACCACTCAGCTTGGAGTTTTGCTGAGGTGTGCACTTGATCCCACCACCTATGTCATTGATGAAGATATTAAACAATACTGGGCCTAGTAAGGACCCCCGAGGGACACCACTTGTCACAAATATCCATCCAAACATTGAGCCATTGATTACTGCTCCCTGGATGCAACCATCCAGCCATTTCCTCATCTGCCAAAGAGTCCATCCATCAAGTCCATATCTCTCCAATTTAGAAAGAAAGATGTTGTGAGGGACCATGCAAAAGGCCTTACAGAAGTCCAGATAGATGACATCCATAGCTTTTCCCTTGTCTACTGATGTAATCACTCCATTATAAAAGTCCACTAGGTTACCGAGGCAAGACTTGTCCTTGGTGACACCATGCTGGCTGTCTCAAATCACCTCCCTGTGGCTGAGAACTGTTGCCCTCTGAGAGGACAAAGCATCCAGACATCCCGCTGGCCAGAAAGGGAGGCACAGCTGGCCTGTGAAAGGTCTCCCAGCACCCTATAAAAGAACTGCTGGTTGCATGGGACCTTCTTCCTCGTCCCCTGGCCCTGCCCCTGGAGTGCGGGGAGGTGCCATGTCCTCTGCACAGAACCCTAAGGGAGAGGGGAGGAGAGGGCCTGGCATCCTTTGGGCCACTGTGTTGGCACCATGTGAGGAGTCTGTTGGGAGACCATTGAGGGAGGTCCCTGGGGCCTGGAGGTCGTGGGGTTTGTTTTCAGTCTGAGGTTCCCCCTTGCCCTATTTTCTAGTTTTAAGGGCAAACCTCACTGCTGGGTTGTTTTTTTTTCTTTTTGTTTGTTTGTTTTTTTAATTAATCATCAGGGATTTTTTTATTATTCTTCTCTAACACAAAGTATGGTGTGATTCCTGCACTCACCTGGGAGTTTCATCAAGATGTTTCACCACAGCTATGGCAAAGACAAAGAACTCATAATGCTTCAGTCTTGCTCCTGCTCTTCCTGGAACATAAAATGGGTTAGGTTACTGGTCCTGTAGTATGGAATAAGCTGGGAAATGGGATGTGGTAGCATATGATTTTTGTGGACTGAATTGACAACAGTTTCTCAGGCTCACATCAGCTATGACGCAGTTGAGAAAGAGTCACACGTGTTTCAATATGGTCTGTTCTGCTGATCAGTCAGAGGTGACTGCTCACAAAGCATCCTGAGAAACCATGAAAATATTCTGCTGTTATTACTGCACTTACTGCAGAAGCAAAAGCTGCCAATCAGTAGCACAAACTGATGTCTCACATTTTCTGATCTGGCTGAAATATGTTTGCTCCAGGACTAGCGATAAAAGAGCAAATACCAGTAGCTGCTTCCCCAGCCAGAGAGGCGGCTGCCCCCAGCATAACTAAGGGCAGCCACGAGGTTGCTCTAAGGCAACACAGCCAATACTAATGCTTGTTTTCCAGGGGTGGATAGCCTGCAGTTTCTAAAGAATCACTTCCCTTTTGGCTCAGATTCCAAAAATTTGGGTTAACCCATCAGTGTCACTACTGGAAATTACATCTCCAATGCAGCTTATTTTTTGTGGGCTCGCACAAGGATGGGTGGCAGGAATAAAGGGCTGCAGTTAAAAGCAACTGCATGTGAAACGGGTGCTGGTGTCAGCTCACATCTTTGTAGATACCATCACCACAACCAACCTGAGCATGAGCTCTGCATGGGCCTCTCAGAGGAAAATTCATCATGGTGGGGGGAGTGGGAAGTAAATTACATTGGCAACAAATTCTCTTAGCCTGGACCCACTGATTGTGTGGGGCTGCGGGCCAATATTTGATTTGCTAAATGGGAGTCAGCCAGTCCTCCCATTGCAGTGACATCAGGGTGGCGTTGTACCGCCAGAGCCCTCCCCACACATGTCTGTCAATGGCACGGGATCCATCAGCAACAATTAGTCATTACTCTGAGACCTACCACTGACTGCAAACTCCTCTTGGCATCAGGATAAGGCCAGGATGAAGCACCAGGTATGTGCTGCAAGGAGCCGGGGACCTCCAGGAGACGACAGTTCTATCCTGTTGTCCCTGCCGGGGTGGCTGGGACACGGCAGGGGATAACCAGGAGCCCTTCGACAGCTCTTCCTGTGAGCACAGCACTGCAGAGTAACTGCGGACATGACCCTATCCAACGTACTTCTGCACTGCTTGGATCAGCCCCAACGACATGACAAGCACATATGCTGCTGCTGGAAATTTTATGTGAAAAAAACCCAGCCTAGATTGTAGTTTATAGTTCTTTTCAGCAGGACTGCATGAAGCTAATGACACAGAAAGCCATTTGGGTTAAATTGTGAAACTGAAAGATGCAGCACCTGCTTTTATGCTTCATGTGTTACTAAAAATACTTCCCTTCTGAAATGCAACATAAATGACAATACACAAGAAAACTCTACAATGACATTGGTGACATTATTAAGGCGGGTTTTATCAGTGTCCCTGTACACAGAAAGATGACGAAAGGATAGCGGAAACAGAAGACATCATTATGCCATTGCTTAAACCCTTGGTGCATCCATATCTGAGGTAATTCATTGCCCTCCTGGTTTCTCCATGTAAAAAAGGGGATAATGATAGGTTTTAGACAGGAAAGATGAGAATGATCCAAAGTATGGAAGAGCTTCCATATGAGGAGAAATTAAATAGCATCTATTTATCCTGAAAAAGAAACTCCTGAGGGAAGAAACATGGCAAAAAGATGTGAAAGAGGCAAATCAAGAGAAGTACTTCCAACAGACAGATGAGATGGAGGGCTTTATCAAAAATAAGAGTGCTGAATTTAACTGAAATCTAACATTTCAGGGGAAGGTGTGGAAGCCAGACAAGGTCAATGGTTCAAACAGGGTGTTATGTTGACCCCCCTGGGGACAGCAGCTCTGGGGCTGCTGGGGACCACGTGGTGCAAAGGCCACCCAGACCGGTTGCAGGCAGTGATGTCACCTACACCGGGGAATAGCCTGTGGTCAGAACATCCTCGCCCCCAACCCACGTCACCTCAGGCAATGGGTACCTCACCGGGCACGGGGCACTCTGGGGTGGCTGTCTTCAGGATGTGCTGCTGGGACCTCTAAGGAGCCTTCTTCTCGTGGGTGCAGCTCACATCATTCAAACAGCACATTTATTCTTAAACATTTTCCCCCTCCACTCTTCAAAATCAAACAAAAAGCCCTGACTCAAGCAATTTTTTTTACCAGTGAAAAGAGAGCATTGCCAAAGAGTATAAACCCCTGTAGAGATTTTACTTTTGCTATTGATTTTATGCGTGAGATGCTTAGCTACTCTGATAATATCTGACAGTATAAGAAGCCAGAGAGAGAATAGAAAGGTTAATACAGCAACAATGTCACCAGGATAAGTGGTAAAATTTTTGGATATTGTGGTTTTAAAGCTGACTGAAATACCTCATTGTTTATCAAGCTGAGAAGTGTTTTGACAAAAAAAAAAAATCCCCCTCCCATTGAGCAGTTTTAATTTCTTATTGTTATTTCTGTGAGAAGGATGTGCAAGGTAAAATGGAATATATATTAGAGAGCTATAAATGCTTCAGAAAAGGAAAAATGTAAATGGCAGAAATCTAAGTGGTGAACTGAGGCATTCACAGTGAAGGTACATACGTTTCCTACCTTGCTAACAGATTGCTACGTAACTTATGTTGCATTAGCACTATGGCAGTTTCTCAAGTGTTAAAAACCCTCATTGAAAACAGTTTTTGAATAAAGAGATCTCTGAATGACTGTATTGCTCCTCTGGGACAATGCAGACCAGAAGGCCTGGGGACAGGGGACAGCGCGTCCTCAGCTCCTCTGGAGCCTCAGCAGATACGCAGCCAGACCTGCCCTTTCAACAAAAAGCTGCTCTACCAAGCAAGGCTACTCTCTGAAGACATCCACCCAAAACAAAACCTAAAGCCAAATGTTTTCTAGAAGAATGTTCTTTTCAAGGGTAAATTGCTTTTAAAAATAAATAGATGTTTAACTGAAAGGTTGGCTGTAGTTTGGGTGCTTCCTGGCTTTGGTTGCCCTCCCAGGGGTAACAGTTTGGATCTTTTTGGACTGAGGAGCGACCTGAATTCAATGTCAGTTGTTTCCTGGGGAAGTGCTTTTATATCAAGGGTCTTCAATATAAAGCATAAGCTAATGCATTTTAAAAGTGCAGATCTGGACAGTTGAGCTCTGGAGAACAGGCACGAGTCCCAGCATGATCCCACCCTTCCTGCTTCCAGCTGGTTAATAACAGCACCTCAAGTGGGGCAAGGTTTTAGGGCTTACCCTTCTAAGCAGACCATTGCTCCCCATCCGTGGTCCGGAGAGCCTGGGCCTCACGCAGGTCTTCACACCAGTGGTCCGGCCCTGAAAGACAAGGAGGTGCAGTGTCTGACCTGTGCCGGACTGCCTCTGCACAATATCTGACCCCAGATGGGCCTAGGTTTGGGCTTTCGAATTATGTGGCAGAAATATTTATTCATTTAAAAAATTAGTGCTTTCCATAGAGACTAAAATACCTTTTGTTTCAGCTCATTTAGTCCAGCAAGTCTCCCCACTGTAACTGTAACCACTCTGCTGTCAGGGACTACAGCTACTGCAGAGTTAGAGAAACAAAAAATACACATTTGAAGTGACAGCATGCAGAAAGTGAATGGGGGTGAAATATAATTAGCTGAGGCAAGGACAAGTAGGTAAGTCTCCATAGTCATAATTTATGTGGGATATTGTTATAGTTATTACCATGCAATTTAACTGGAATACACCAGAGCAATTTTCGTATCTTAAAACATGCAGATGCACTCATATGTATATGAGAAAAGTCTCAGAACTCAAATCATCCAAAATAATCAAGAAAGTTATTATGATAAACAGCACAATTAACACAGGGATCACAAGGGATGAGTCTCCATTTCTGATTATCTAAAGATAAAATGAAAACATTATTAAAACTTTAGTGTAGAAATGGTAGCTCTGTTCACATCCAGCACTCTGTAGTCTCTGTCAGTCCCACCTCTGCTGTTTCTTTGCCAATCTCAGAACCAACAAAATGTGTAGATCTGAGATCTGCTGAACTGTCAGAGGACACACACGGTTCTGAAAAAATAGTTGGATTGACCGTGCTAGTCAAATTTTATTTTTTTTTTTAAACTACAGAGGAGCAGTCTTCAATTGCTAAAGAGGAGGAGGAAGTATGGTCACATATATGTGTACAAACTGCTGGGGACTTAAAGTTGCAAAGTAAAAAATGGTGATTTGTGATGGTCTGTGCTGCCATCCTTCATTTACAGGCTTCTTTCTAATATTGCTGTTGATACAGTATTGCTCTCATCAGCTGTATAAATTATTCCTACCAGTAAGATGAAACACAGTGCTACCATTTCAACAAAAGGAGACATTCATCATTTTAATTCACGTTTAAATTGTTGAAGATTATCCACTGTCCATTAGATTTCAACAATATTCAAATGTAAGCTGTTCTAATCATATGCTAAAATACAATAATCGCCAACTCTCAGAACCATCCAGAAGAAATCTGTCACTCCTACACTGATCATGTTACTACCTCCTTCAGTTTCTTTCTCTTCTGTCCCTGTACTTCTGTGTGCCCACTGTGTTTTCGACTTAATATGCAGCCAACACTTGACTCCTCAGAGTTGCCTACTTAAGGTGAACAGCTTGTGTCTATACATGTTTCAGTCTAGTAGATATGGCTTAGAAAGAGCTGCTCTTGTCTTGGGGCATGAGGAGAGGCTGGAAGAGCTCATGAGGTTTACTGTTGTCTTTAAAAATCTGTCCCTCAAGCTCAAAAATGTTGATTTGGAAAGGGAGCACTCAAGGAGGGATGAAGTACCTGTGCTGTCAGCACCACTTCTGACATTTCTGAATCACAAAATCATTCTCTGTCTATTGCCCATGCAGTCAAATAACAGCAAAATGAATCTCTAGATAATGCAATTTAGTGGTTTTATCTTTTTCATTTTGAGCCTAGAGGTGAGTTGGGAC